TTGCCACTTCCAAGCCTGGACTCTCCACAATGGCTGGAGGTGACTAAGTCCAAGCCTTTCCCTAAAGCAGAAAACCTGAGACCACTAGAAACCTGTAAGCCCAAAAGCTGTGACAAGCTGAGCAGAGCCATTATCTTTAAAAACTTTTTCAAAACCACTTTTCTTTCCTTCAAAGCAACCAAGCCACACTCTTAAAGCCCAAACTATATCACAGTTGTTCTCTTAACTAACTCACATTCTCATCAGGCACCACTGAAGATAATTATTTGAAAGCAAGTTTTAGGTCTCTTGGTGTGTTTCTTTGGTTCACAAAGAACTGAAGATGTCCTGTTCTTCCAGTCACACAGAGGAAATCCTGCAGGAAAGTAGGTGCTTTCTTCTTATAGGTTGAAATTAGTAAGTAGAATAAATCTGAGAAGCAGGATCTGGAAAGTGGCTAAGAGTAGGCCTTGCAAGCCAGCAGTGCAGGTTTGAATCCTGTGTCCTAGGGGTTCCTAAGCATTTTAATTCACCTCTCTGGGCTTTAGTTTCTTCATCTGCAAAGGGGGATAACAGTACCTACTTTCCAGGGTTCTCATGAACACTAGGTGAGGCTCAATATTGATTTAAACACACACTCGTTGCTCAGCACAGTGCCTGGCACAGGGGAGCACTGTGTGAATGCTGGCTATTAGAATTCTTTTAGAGCATTCCCTTTTGCAAGGCACATATACAAAATTCATCTCATTGTAGATTCACTTATTTATTTGAATGAAATGTTTAGGTGCATTTAAGCAAGACAACATAAATTTACCTGAATTTATAATAAAGCCTAGAAACAGGAAAGCTGGGGAAGTATACTTCTTTAAGCCCCATCAGTACATAAGACAATGGGAAAAGAAACAATGTCCAAGCAATGAATGATTCATCATCTGGTGTTTGAAACTCTGACCAAGCTGATGGGAGTCACCAAGACACCAAAAACCTGAAATGAGAAGGAGGTGAGACTGAACTCAGCCTGGCCTGTATTTATAACCCACTGGGCTCATGTCTTCAGCTCCACGAGTCCCACTCTTTACGTGTAAGATGGAGGTCTGTTACTTTCTCCCACATCTGGTGGTCCTGAGGACTGACTCCCTGTGAGGACAGAGCACTCCCTCCCTCTCTGTCCTGTGCTCCTTTTTACCACGGTCACTTTGAGGTCTTTGATGAGATTTCACAGTAAGGACTAAGAAAAGAAAAGTAGATCACTCTTCAGGCTGAATTAAAGCTGGGTGAGCAGCGAGGCAGTAATGGGAAACTCCAGGCAGGAAGGCATAGGCGGAGGAGCCCCATCTGCTTGCTGCCAATATTTCATCCATCATTTAATTCTAGTGCAGTCCCCACAGAAAAACTATGGACAACTGTGAGATGCTGTGAAAGAAAGATGCATAGTCGACATCAATAACTAGAATCAAATAGCCTTGATTCTAAAGTGTCACTCATTCAATAACATTACAATAGTCACAAAATACTAAAATGTTTTTAGTAACTGATAAAATGTTCATCCTCAGATTCACAGTCTACATTTGAACCTCCACCTGCTCACGTTCAGACTCTGAACATGCTTCTGCATCACTCTGGTCTCCAGCAGTTACTCAGTTATTCCCAACATCAGGTGCTGCCCTGTTGTTCATAATCCACACTCACAAACTTGACTCTTTAGGACGTTTAGAAGTAAGGGCAGAACATTGAAACGTCACATCTGAGAATAACTGGGTTTGGTCTGAATTTCCTATTTGATAGTTAACCTTGAAAAAGCTTTTTCCTAATTCTATGAATGGCATAGAATTGGAAATTAAAATGTTGACTTCCACACTACAAAAAATTGTTTTCCTTGGGACCACAGTTTTATTAGGTCAAGATATATATGAGTTACATATGCTTCACAAGGCCCTCAAAACTAGCATAAGTTAAACACAACTCATATGGCAGTTAATATGTTAAATAACTTTTCTTAAAAGATTAGATATTCACTAATACTACTTTAAGACATGTCGGTCAATCACCTACTTGGTAAATTTTATAATTCATATTTGTGAGTTTCAGCAATCTCCAATGATTTTAACTATATTTCCTGCAGCACAAGTAATTTGCATACCCAATGCTTCTGCTTTCAGTGGTTTCAGTGGTAGCAGAGAATGTTACCTGAATATTCAAAAGTCAATAAATGCCCTCATAAGGACTTTGTGTTAGCTCTTCTTTCAGACCAGATCTAGAACTGTTTTCCACACTGAAGCGCATCACCTGTAAGGAGGCCAGAGAATAATTCAGTGGTCTGTATCTAGTCCAAGCATCCTTAAACTACGGCCCGTGGACCCCATCCTGCCCGCCTAGGACATTTATCCGGCCCACGGGGTGTTTTTGCTGCCGCTGCCTGTCCTACTTAGCAGCTGACTCGTCCTGGGGTTTGCAGTCCGGCCCTCCAACGGTCTGAGGGACAGTGAACTGGCCCCCTGTTTAAAAAGTTTGAGGACCCCTGGTTTAGTCTCTTTAAAAATAACAATGAAAAATAGAATATGTCACCATGCACCACATACAGGAGATGCAGCAACTGCCCTGTTGAGTTTCTGCTTGTGTGAGTAGGTGTGCACATGGGTGTGCGTACCCTGAGTTACAAAGTAAAATGCAGTGCTTACTGTGGCCAAAAGTTTGAAAGCCACTGGCACTCAGGTTTCTGTCAGTGAGTTACCCAGGTGCTAACTGCATTTACTCTTCCAAAAACTCTGAGCTAAGCTGCCCAGACCTCAGGGAGGTGCTGTTCAGGCTTTCTATGGAAGAAATTAGAGAAATCAAATCTAAATAACTCAAATAATTAAATTAGTGAAAATATTTACTTTTAACTATTGATGCCATATTTTGAGTTGCAAGACACTGATTCACCAATAACTCCCCAACAAGAGAAATAAAATACCCACTTCTTTCTCAATTCAACATTTCACCAGAATAATTACTGCCCTTCATAAAGTTGAAATGGAAGTAGTTCATAAATACCCTTAAGTTTAGCCACCAGGATAATTTAAGATTGAAGAAACCAAAACCACCCCCCCACATATACATAAGTGCTTATAAACCAAATATGAAATCACTTTTTGTAAAACTTTAATTTCTAAGACATTTTAAAAGTCACACTGAAAGTATATCAAAGAAGAAAAAAGAGGACTAACAGACAATATGTAAACAACAATCTGTAAACAAAAATAATTTACCAGTGTGTCCAAGTATTATTTCTAAAGTAGCATTATGCCAGTTTTCTGAAGTTTAAAATGTCAGTGCTGTATTTCCATTCATATTTAAAAGAAAAACATACTAATTCTGCCTTTATACATCAAATACTGTGCTAACAACAAAGTGAGCAGGAGGGCTTATAAACAATGGACACCCGCGTCGCTGGCAGATTAAGTCATTCCTGAGGCTGCCAGGACAGCCCAACAGGTACCCAGCACAGGGAGGCAGAGGCTGTGCTGCAAGAGCAGGTGCATGAGCACCCTCAATGCATCAGAGGCAAAACAGCAGAGGCGTCATTCTTACCCACCAGCAAGCACCTCAGTGTAGCAGTGTAAGGAGCTAACATTGATGTGTGTACAATTTTCACATAACATCTCATACGTAAAGGTCTATTTTTACACAGAATGTACATAAAGCTATGTAAATAGTAAATTTAAGAAACACCTAGGAAAATTAGTAAAAATCAATATAAATGTCATAATCTGAAAAATGTCTAATTATAAAACAATTTATTTAAATATTACAGAACCAATTAACAAGACTCTAAGTGTCCTTAAGAAATTCTGTGACTATACATAGTGCCTAATGCCCTTTTAAAATAGACTAAAGGTAAGAGAGAATAAAAGGACCTCTTGATTTAAGGGAGTCACCGATGTAACCCCATCCGATTAGAAATGAAATGGCAGCTCTGAAATTAATCTGTGAGCATGTGGGGAGCTCCATCTTCAGGCTCTGACTGCCTTTCCCTAGCACGCAGCAGCTGCAGTAAAGTGAAGACCCCTAAGAGTGACTGTTCTTACCCAGGACCCAGACCACTTGGCCCCAGTAGTCTCCCACCCACCTCTGGACTTGTGTGCAAAGCTGCCTCCAGCACCCATCAGAAAGCAGCACACAGCTCACTCGTGTGTCGGGAATGGACCTCGAGAGGCTGTGACCCTGCAGCAGAGCAAGCAGGTGACACCTGCGTTTGTTAGCAAGGTGCCTGAGGCCCTGGGCTGGAGGCTGTCCTTCCACAGCATGCTCCTCTTCTGTCTCAACAGTGGCCAGGAAATGTCCAGGAAGGGCCGTAACCCTTCACAATTTACTTCCCTAACTTTACTGATCCAAACCTGGCTCCAGTCCTCTGATGGAAAAGAAACTTTCAAATGAACAAAAAATTGAGAGACACTGAGAAGTTTAATATTTTGCTGAAAAAATTTCATACGTTTACAATACCTAGAAACTCTTTCTTTGGATGTGCCCTGGAAATGGTGTAAGTTAAAAGGGACATGCATATTAGTAGATTTCCTGTTCTCCCTGGACTTGGTCTGCTGAAAGTATAGATTCCAAGTTTCACCAAAAATCAAAGCTTGCAATGAATGCTTAAACAGGTCTAATTAATGGTGAAATGAGAAAGCAGTTGACTTATATTAATTTTCTAAGTATGGAGAGCTTAAGTTTAGAAATTCACTGGTAGTAGACTGGTGGTGTTTACTGAGAGCTGCAGAGAATCACAAAATGAATGTTTTTTATGTTAAAACCAAGCTGCATTTTTTAAAGACGTAAAGCTTATAAGCAAAGTATACTCAATGAAATTTATAAATATACAGATTAAGTTTTCTTATTATTTTTGTTCTAAGTGGAAATTTTTCATGTCAAATAGATACAGTCTGTTTTTTATAAATTTCTCCAAAGAAAACTTTAAATTCAACAATTTGAGAAAAATGTTTACTTTTGTCTGAACACAGACAATCTATTGCCATACACATAGTGCATGTGAATATATACATTTATACATGCGTTATGTTCAGGTGGGCCCATCTCATATCTGTACAAACTTTCACTATTCTGCCCTAGTGGGTGACACAGAGTATGTATTCATAGTCTGTAGCCTTTATTCAGTGGACTTAAAGCCAAGAAACCATCCCAACAATTATTTACAATTTAATAACTGATTATCAGATGATATTACACTGCAAAACTATTCTTACATCATGAATGCTGATGCTGCGAGTTTTGAGTATTAAACTGGCGATTTTATAAGTCAGAAGTTTAAAGTGGCGCATATAAAAGTAACCAAAGCCTGAAGAATATGGGAAAAGAGGGTTTGCTATCGCTCAGCACTAATATTTTTCATAAGCATCACAAAAGCACAGAGAAGTGATATTTGAAAAAATGCTTTAAAAAAACTGAGTGTACATATAGCCTATAAGGCAAAATCTAAGTTACAAGTGCATTCAACACTGGCAACTATGTTAGGAGAGGTACCATGGACTCACACACACAGATGCTGTCCTGACGCTGTGACTACACGATACTTCCCACCACAGCTTATTATACTGTACAGGAGAAGATATTTCTGTGGTTTTCTACCAAAGTTCAGGGTTTAAAAGAATTTAGTATTTTTCCCTGGGCTCAAAGTATAATCAATATCATCCTATATAACATAAATGAGAAACTGTACTTTGGGCTTTTTTTAAAAAAGAAAATAAAAAATATAATTTGCAATCATTACTTTCCAGTGTACCTACAGCAATAATAACATCTACAAGCAGTTTCTATCACTTATGAAAACTGCATTTTCTGAAAAACCTTTACTTAGTACCAAGGATGTCTTTCAAGGAGGCTTCTATATCCTGAATAAAGTATATAATAGGATTTAAATCAATCTTTAGAAAGTCCTAAAATTTGCCTTTTCTAGCATTTTCATATCAGTTGAAAAAAACTTTTCAGATAGATAATTCTATTTACCAATGTGAACAAATGTGTCTATGAAAGAATGTGCTGTTCTGTACATCGCTAAGGATCTGCGTTAAACTGGAAACTAAGGGGTGGATCAGAAAGTTAAATTTTATAAAATAAGAAAGAGCAGCACTAGCCAAGTTCTTAGTAGGTAATAGAAAAAAATAATGCTGAGAGGCCCGGATCCTAAATATGAGCCAAAGTCAGTATGAAAATGCTTCCACGCCTGACGGGAATGTCGTGAGTCTGCAGGTCTCGGGGCTCCTGATTGCAGAGCGGGCCACCTGTGTGTCACAGTGCTTTCTGATGCCCATTTACAGAAGGCTTGGTTGCTTCTGGATCCCTTGAAGTATTTGATAAGTGAAGTTTATGAAGCCCTGCAGAGAAATCAAGAAAATGATGAGAAATGATGTATTGCTGAATGGCTGGGCAAAGGGGCGTGGTAGGGGAAGAAGAGAATTACAAAGTAGTGTCAGGCTCTGTTGTGACAGCTGTGACGCACTGGCCAGAGGCTCTGAAGAATGCAAGACTTCCTCCTCCCACTGGCATACTCCCTTGGGGTGGCCTGAATGGAAGACACCACAGCAAGATCTCCCTGTCCAGGACAGCCTTCTTCAATGATGGACAGACCACACATGAGTATAAAGGTCGGTCCCCTTCTCCTCAGTTCAGTCGGGCTCAGAAGAGTCACGTGTTAGGCACAACATCACAGAGGGCTGGCTGCAGCTGCTGATGCCAGCCAGCGAGGTGCCGCCCCCATACGTGCAGGGTCCCCTCCCATTCCTCAGCCCCTCTGTTAGACTTCCTTCTAGCAAGTTTGTTCCCATCCAAAGTGCACTTCCCAGGGAAACTATCCAGAGATAGGTTATGTTCTCATTTTTGTTTTAAAATATGCCCACATAGGAATGATAGTGATATAGAACTAAAAAGAAAAAAATTTAAAAATTACCATAAACAAGAGAAAAAATGGCAAAAGAACAAATTGAACACAAATAATCTTTCACTATTCAAACGTATTTCACAAAATAAAAAATTATCAGTCTCTTTTAAATTTAAATTTACCTTTGTATCATAGAGCAACTATTTATATAACATACCTGATATACAGGAAGAAAAGGTAGAAGAAAATTTAAGATTTTATGTGGTACTAGGCTTTAAGCACTTTAACAAAGACTAAATACAACATATAAGGGTACAGTTGTGTTGTGGAACTGCGGAGATACAATCTGAGAACGTCATCTTCAGGCAATTCTGGCACTGTGACACATCATAGTCTACCTACCAAACCACGGTAGTACAGCCACTCTAGCATATCCAACGATCCCACACCAACCTAGCACGCCCTTCTAGGCTGCATGGCAAAGCTAACTGCCCCAGGCTGCAGATCTGCACAGTGTGGTACTGCACCGAATGCTGTCGGCACCTTGTGTATCTGAGTACATCGACACAGACACATAGAAAGGTGATGCACTGTGCTGTGATGTTACAGTGCCCACGTACTAGGCAACAGGAATGTTCCAGCTCCAGTACACTCTACTGGGAGCCCTGCCGTCGTCGGTAGCTGACAAAAGACTGTCATGTGGTACATGACTATTACATGAGCTGCACATCTATAGGAAAGATTGGGAGGAAGTAATTTTCATAAGGCCCAGACCTTCTTGACACCTCAAATGCTTACTTGGAAAAGATTTTTCCCCTAAAATTCCAGTTGGTTAATCTACCTGACGACTAGGCAGCTTTGTATCACTCTTCAACCAATACAGCACTCCAAGTTATAAAATTTCTGTCACCTGCATCTTTTAGTGAAATAAAAGACAAAATTGAGCCTCTCTATGATGTTTGAATGGGAAGGAAGAAAAGAAATCAATAAAACATGAACAATGGTTCTGTTCCCAGGAACAACCAAACTGCTGAGTGACGGCAGGAACCCAGAGCTGCGAGAGATGGGAGTGCGCTTAAATAAAGCTTCTCCGAAAAGGGGCTGAATCAAGAGAGGGTCAGTGAGGTAGCCGTCGACTGAACTGAAACAGAATTGCCCTTTCAGGGTAGATTTCTTGAGTTCACTGCTAAAACCTGGTGCGTTCTGAAAAGTTACAACATCTCCCTTCTGCAGACAACTCTAGGAACAACTGCCTGCATTACCACCATAGCTAAATTGTGAGTCTTTATTCTGATATTCTTTATTGCTGATATTCTCTGAGATGGGTACTATTATTATTAAAGGATGTAGTAGCAAAGGGTTAGGAAGGAAACTAAAAAGGAGATAGTTACATCTTATAATCAAATTATAACTCTCAGTGAAATCCAACTGAAGATCTCAGATCATTCAAACATCGCATATACTCAACAAGAATCTCTCCCTAGGTATAAACTGCTCCCTTAGCACACTCCAAAGAATAGCAGAAAATCTTTCAGGAAAAAAGTAAATCTATATGGTAGAATCCAGTTTTATATAATTTCTGAGAATTCAACTGCCTCTTATTATCAAAGAACTGACACATTTAAGACATTTTACCTCTCGTTAAGTTATATTTTACTATTTAGCAAAGTGATATCCAAAATACCCTACGCAAACGCTAAACTTAGCACAATCATGTGTAACAATCTCATTTAAATTTATCTGAGATTATGACTGACTAATCTTGCTAATATTACAACTGAGCTAACAATTAAGTTTTGATTCTCTATACATTTGACTAAAAGGACTGTTTGAGTCTCATTTCATCTTGCAGTTTTAAATTTGGCCAACTTTATGAAATTTAAGCATTAAAATCTATAAATCATCTGGTGCTTTAGCTAAAAGATGGAACTTTTCCTTTCAGGCAATATTTCATCAGCCATCCCTCACAAGGCATATTCAAAGTAAAATACATATGGATAGATGATCTAAAATCTTATTTTCCTCCCAAAGGTCACCATTTTCAACATTAAGGTGGGAAAGCTTGGTGATGTATGAAGCTTTATTGCTGTCTATATAGTTTGCTAACTGAAAATTAGACCAATCAGGCCTGAAACAATAACTAAAAGCCATAAGCAACACCAAGTCTAAGCATTCAAATGGTGTCACTCAGATAAATGAGCTAATGTCAGGGTTTTCTATCATTTTTACAACAAATCACAGCTCTTCCCAAGAGAGTTTATATCGTCCTGGTCTCTTAAAGTATAAAGCCTGGAATGTGCTGAGCACCAATGTAGAGACAAGTTACACTCACAGATCACACTCACCATTTACGGACCTGCCAGCTCTGAACAGTGCTAGGACATATGTGACTCGTGGAATACATGACCAAAATGCCCTCTCTCCTGTCGGTGCCAACAATGTTAACATTCTTATCCTGAATTATTATTTGGCTTACTGAGAATTATAGGTTTATATGAGGTCTGACAATAAAGTATGTGAACTCATCCTAGAAAAAGTGCTACATACCTCATTGCTGAGCAGCCCTACAGCCACCTCAAGTACCCCCTTTAGGAAGCTGGGCACCAACACCAGCACCTAGTCCACCCTTCAAGGTAATTTTGGAACTCGTTTTCTGGAATAGCCATCAGAGTTGTCATCGTATGAAGGTGTGACAATTGCGTTTATGAACTCATCCTAGAAAAAGTGCCTTGAAGGGTGGACTAGATACTGGTATCAGCACTTCAAAGGTGATCGCAGTGATAGTCAGCAAAGACATGTGCAGCACTTTCCCTAAGATGAGTCCACAGACTTAACTGTCCGATTGTGTACTTATAAAATCCAAGCTTCAAAAGAAGGTTTAACTAGAAGGTATCACAAAAAATGAGAGTTGAACACAGTGCTTCCCTTGCCATGATCACCACCAGCATTGGCAGGGCTCATGCTACTGAGCTCTCAGGATGTGCCAGGCACTATTCTAAGGCCCCACAAAAATTATGCAGTTAATACTGACAATAATCCCACAAGGAAGAAGGTATGATCACTGTTTTACAGAGGTGTGAGGAAGCTGAGGGTCAATGAAGGGAAGTCATTTTGTACGAAAAATCATAATCAATTAGTGGTAGATCAAGAATTTGACCTCAAAGGTTCCACACATTTGGAAAACTAAATAGCTAAAGATTTTAAATTAACTCAAATGTCAAAATTATTAATTAGCAGAAAGAAGAAAAACACCCACAAAACTGAGGCTTACCCAGTGCCTTGAAGAGCTCTTCTCGTACAGCAGAGGTGAACTTTCTGACCAGGCACAATGTCGTCACGATTGCAAAGAGCAAATTGTAGGATAAAACAATATAGAAATTCCCCAGCCAATTAAACCTTCCAAAGTCTCCAAGTAGATCAAATCTAGTGATTCCTGTTGAAAATAAATAAAATAGCCCTTAATAAAATCAGGTAAGATATATTTAATTTGTTATAAAGTACAAATCAGATCAAATTTCATGGACTTTCTCATTTCTGTTATGTGAGATGCTCTAATGAATGAATTCCAGTTTAAAATATAAAATTGTTATTCAGTGCGGCAACCAGAAGCTAGCCCTAACCTACCCTCGTGTGCCACAGTCACGCACAAGTAATGAGCAACGAGGCCATAATGAGCCGCCCCTCGGGGTTGAGCAGAACGCAGCTCCCGGGGCAGTGGGCAGACGCATGCGCAGGGAGACCAGCCAGCTGTGACTGAGCGAGTCCTCGCACCTCGCCTGCCGCCCCTCTAGTGAGCTGCCTGCCTTGTCTCCTGTCTTCATCTTCCTTGCAGAGGAGGCCTCTAATTCCTGTACTTGGAACAGCTGGACCCTCTGCAGTCCTCTGCTCTGATTATGCTTCTTCGTCACATACATTACCCATTTCCCCCCTTTTTGGCTTCCTTATTGCCTGTTTTCCCCACTAGAATGTAAATTCTTATAAGAACAGGGATTTGTCTGTTTCACTCCTATAATCCCAATGCCCTTATACATACTTAATATTTATTACATAAATGAAAAAATAAATAGGATCATTTCCTTTCCTGAAAAAAAGTATTAGTCTCAATTTAGTGCTATAGGCTTGTAGAGTAAAGGGCAAAGCTGGAAATGCAGTAGAATGATATTATCTATCCATTTAAGTTATTTAAATTCACCTATCCACATTTTTAAATGTCTTATTTTTAAAAATGGCTTAGTCATTCTATTTAATGAACTTGTGTCCCAGGTCCAATACTTAATGGGAAAAATATGTGAATGGTGGGATTTTTTTACATGATAGGTAAATAAGTCACATCATTCCAAGTGACCAGTCAAGAGACAGTAAGATTGTCAACATTCTTCAGAGAAGAAATGGAGCTTAGGGACTATATAAAATTTAAACTACAAAGGGCTGGAAGAAATAATAACAACTGGCTGGCAACTGCCTACAGAACTGTATAAACAAAATTATGTAGCACATTTTTTGGGTTAAACTCAATTTCACATTATCTGGTGTTCACTTTTGAACTTAACTGTCACCCCCACGCCAAAGCAATCCCATCGCCCACTAGAGATGGCCTCCCAAGAAGCAACTGGAAACCCTCCTACAGAAACAGCAGAACACAAAAGATTTCAAAAGTAGCTCTTCTGTAGTCACTTCTACCCAGGGGCAATGTATTTGAATTTGAAAGAGAACAATATGCAAAACACTTTTAGAAGACACAAGATTAATGAAAACATACAATAAAACACCTTTGTAAAAAGCTTAAAACCCAGCTACCAAAAGATCAGGCAACATTGCCAGACAGAGAAGATGACCATCTGGGCTGCAATTCTTCAGCAAAAGTCTTAAATAACTCTACTTCGTTAAGAGGAATACACACCTAATTACATACTTTATTTTACAAAGAAAATACCATTTAATTTAGCCTAGAAAATCATCCATAAATAAGATATAGTCCTACTAAAATAAGCTTCAGTGGTTTCAGCCCAGATATCCCAAATAAGTAGTTTATTTGATCTTTAGAGCCAAAGATAATTTGGTGAGAGCTTCTCATACCTTCTCACTCCTTTGAGAATCTGGTGAGAGCTACAGATCTTCTCCCAAGAAACACACTCATATGTACACATACACACAATTTTGCATACCATGAAGCTCACTTATGAAGGAAGTGATAGGTCCCAGAATAAAACCCTACCTCAGATGCTCTTGATCATATACTACCATTACGAAAAACAAAATTTGAGCACCTATGTCCAATCTATATGTATTTATTTATAAACTATATATGTACTATTTACTGATCATATACATATCTTTTTAACAAAGACATTAAAAACTACAACAATAAATATAAGTTCTAATATTTTCTTCACAGTTCAGTGACTTTGTGATTTCATGGGGATGCACAAATTCCACTTTGAAAACTACTTGTATATGGTATGTGTGATCCAACCACCCTGAACATGACCCATGTTCTGTTCTGACGGCATCACCACCTCAGAGTGAAGGCAGAGGACAAGCACACAGTCACTACAGGAATGGAAGGCATGTCTGGACAGAGAAAGTGCTTTCATGAAGACTGCTCAGTGGACTCAACTTGGTATCTTGAGAGTCAGGGTCAAGCCCAAATATGGAACACCCAGACAATACACAAACCAAAGTCTCTACTGTGATGTGTTTTGGTTCCAAGGAAATTTCAGGTTGACTTCATAAACAGAAATGTAGGAGCCTATTGCCACAGTGCACTGAAGAACTAGAAAAAAAATATTAGCTCATAGTACTAAAGATACTGTTTTCTCAAATGATTTAGTATTTTTAAAAATCTAACTGATGTTGACTGACTGAAAGATTATTCTTGCCAACATACAATTCTTCAATTCTTAAAATACTCTAAAAGACTGAACAGCAAGAAACTGTAAGTACTTCTCTAAAATTCTGTCTGACAAGTTTTATCATGATAATAATTAAACTATGAATTATAATTTTAAAATTTAAAGTCCCAACACTTAAAAAAAGTAGCCATGCTTAAATAAAGCTTTAATGTAATTAATACTTATTCTAAAAGTATATAAATAAACTTCAAAATTTACATATCTGTACAAAGGTAAAAGGATATTAGGAAAGCAAATTTTAAAATACGACTAACTAAGCCACACTGTCTCTGGATTATCTGTCAATAACAAAACAATCTTCATGACAAATATCAACTTCCTCCACTAGGAGTCAACTGAAAATGTCTTATGCATAATTTCATCAATAATGATCTTTTTCTATTTGTACCTATAAGAGAAATAACATACAGACTAAACTCTCAATTTAAGAAAGAGTTTGTTTCTCCAAAACAATATGAGTCAATAGAATTTATGTTCTTTCAACTTCTACTTTTAGCAAGAATACTCATATTCCTAAAGCAGTAAGAAGTAGTTTGACAAATGGGGTCAGGTCAGCTAAACAACAATGACAACTACAACAAAAAACAGCCAGACATTGTGGCGGGCGCCTGTAGTCCCAGCTACTCAGGAGGCTGAGGCAAGAGAATCACTTAAGCCCAAGAGTTTGAGGTTGCTTTGAGCTGTGATGCCACAGCACTCTATGAAGGGTGACAAGTGAGACTCTGTCTCAAAAAAAAAAGTAGTTTCAGAGAGTTTATAAAACTTGACATATAAAGGGATTATTAAAGTAACTTTATCAATACTTGGGTACGCTAACATGTGACACAAATGGCTGACATGAATATCCACGGTTTTAATGTAAGGATGCCAAAAAGAATATGTACATCTTGTTATAAAAACAAATTTATAGATTAAATGTTCTTTGGTGAAACATTAGGATTAACATACTTCTTTTCTCCCTCTGAACTCAAACATTGATTCATTTAAATTATCAAAAGAATTTTCTTTGGAAACAGAGTTCCACTCTGTCACCCTGGAGATACCCTAGAGTGCTGTGGCAACATCACAGCTCACAGCAACCTCAAATTCTTGGGCTCAGGAGATCTTCCTGCCTCAGCCTTCCAAAAAGGCTGCGCCACAGTGCCTAGCTAGCTTTCTATTTTTAGTAGAAATGAGGTCTCGCTCTTACTCCTGCTAGTATTGAACTCCTTAGCTGAAGCAATCTGCCCATCTCAGCCCCCCAGAGTGTTAGGGTTACATGAATGAGCCACTACACCCAGCCAAATTATTAATTTTATATTAAGTAGGTTTTCAAATTCCCTCCTCTAAACTAGACTTTTGAAATAAATTTAGCTTAGACAGTGTCAAAAAATAAATGTGACTTAAAAGGTATTTAGATAATAAAATCTACAATAACTTTTAACCATCACTAATTACAGGATTACTATAAACAGGCTTATCGCTAATTGTTTTAGTCATTGTAAAACAAAATCATTCAAAAACTAAAGTGAGGTTCCACTTTTGGGATGGAATGGGAGACTAAAGCAAAGACTTTACCTTTGACTAGTTTTACTGTGCAAGTATATTTTTGTTAAATTATATCAATTAGAAATATGCTTATTGACTTCAGGAGCCAGTCCAGATGGAGTAAAAGAGACCATATTCCCCCTCCTGCCTGAATAAACTGAAAAACTGAACAAATTATACAAAATAACAGTTTTCAAGACCCTGGACTTGAGGCAGTGAAGGACAGTAATCACTGAAAGGCCAGAAACAAACAAGGTAGGCCTCACCATTACCACAGTTTACTCCTAAGGACGAGAGCAGAGATGGGCTCCAGTCACCTCTCTGAGTTAAAGAAATACAGCATAAGGGTGGAACAGTGATCAGAGAGCTGCACAGAGCAGGAACCTAGCAGAGAAGTGACCAGCTCACACTTGTGGTGGGGGACACAACCCAGAAATGACACAGGTGACAGAATGAATTAAAACAGTCAGTATAGCCACATTGCTTATACATATTTCAAAAGCTAGAGAAAGGAAGATAGTGGACTGCAGCCAGCTTTCCACAGAGGCTCCCGTCCAGAAGGAGAGTTAAAAGACAGAAGTTTAGCAAGTAAGCCAATGCTTTGGAGCTGAGCCAAGAGATAATGTTGAAGAATGCACATTAACCCTGCTGAGGCAAGCTGCAAGCCCAAACATACAAACAAAAGGTACTAAATCCATTGCCAAGTGGACCAGGAGTCCCCTCCCCCATGAGAAGGGCTCACAGTAAACTTCATACAAACAAGTGAGCAGAGTTTAAATGTCCTCCCATTCCATCCCACGGGAGAGACTCTCTAAAAACTGGACCTACTACCCATACTAGGGTACCATGGCACTCTCCTGCCAGGCATAAAACTGTATATACTCTCTACCTGCAGCTCTGAACTCCTAGCACTCCCCTCTACTCTGACCCCAAGGTCTGGAAGCCTGTCCCCCATGGAGTCCACATTCTTGACATTTTCTCAAGAGGTGTGGAC